CTAGCAGGAGGCACTGTGCATGATGAATTTGAACCAAAGAAAGTAACTCAGGCCTGTCAATCTCTTCCTCACTCCGAAGTAATATTTCTGCTGCCTTTTCATATGCYGGCACTGCCTTCTGTGGCTGACCCAACCTCTGATACATTAGGCCAAGTATAAAATGTGCATGGGCATTTTTAGGCATCTTCCTTGCAACATGAACCAATCCAGTTTTAAGGCTGCTTGACTTTTTCCTCACGGGATGCTGGAGCCCCTTGACAGTGTTGATCGGCATCCGTATCAGGCCCACATTCAAGAGAACATTTTCCCTTGTTAATTCTTGAACAACACTTCCCCAGTTTATTTAACCGTTTAGCTTCTCYTTCTGTGGCATCAACCACAACGTCTTTACATACTGAGGTACTTTTCTCCCCACAATTTTCTTCCTTAATGCTCTTGGTGGAATCAAGAGGAGCGATGGAGGCACAATCATCGCCGTCGCTTTCGGGAGGGTCGACGTTGAGGTCAGCGATGACGACCTTGGAGTAGTTGCTCTTATTCTTCTTTGAACTCTCGTCGATGGAATCCTCGACGACACCGGATTCCTGCTTAATCGAGACATTCTGGGTGTTGCTAACCTGCGCTAGGGCAACGACCTGCTGCTTGCCGGGCGATTCTGCCATGTCTGGTCGGCGGTCGGTTGTGGTTGCAGCCCCTTCCGGGATCCTTTCCTTGCTGGAAAAGTACAATTCCATCAAGTGCCTTAATTCTCGGACGTCATCCTTGATCTTGCGCACCTCCGTGCTGTTTTCCATGATCTTGAGCTCCAGTTCATGAACCCTAGTCGACAACTGCTCAAGGTCACCTATGACGCCTTGCTCTGATACCAAATTGTTATGGGCCCGCAAATAGGATCTCGTCACGGGTCGGTCCACGGGGAAAACCTCTGTTTTCCCTTGTTCCTCCCTTTTCTTGAGGAACCTATCTTGGCGCCTTATGGTGATTTGTTCAAGAGATCACCAACTCTCCTTTGCTCTTTCTTGACTGAAATTTTCGATGCCTTTATTGAATATTGTAGAGAAGATGGGCCGAATGGCCCATAGACTGTCATTTCATGTTATGTTATGTTATGTTTCTCTCTGTTGTGGGCCTTATTCTGGGCCCATACTCTATAATGCTCTGTTTTTTGTATTTTCCTGCCCACTCAAAGGCCTCTCTGTAATTTGTCAAAGATTAATTTATTAATAAGATGTTTAGAGTGTTAGAGAGAGGTTATGTTCGAACCTCTTACTCTCTAACACTCATTGCTGCCAGCTCTCTCTTCTCTTCCTCTCTTGTTTGTTTATTTTCTGGCTTGCATCCAATCTCAAACAGTTCCATACATCAAGTGGGCTGT